CCGGAACCACTAGAATTATTAAATATTCATTGATTAAGGTGATACTCCTCGATTAGAAAATGTAATAGAAAAATTATTTTTCTATGACTTTATTTACTGGACGAATACCGGTTAAAAATGTCAATTTTTTATGAATCTTGCTCAAAGTCGGCTGACAATTACTGCGGGACCGATTAACATCCCTACTAACATCACATTATGATAAAATTTTGAAACATGGTTGTAATTGGCCAGCTAACTCTGTTTGTAATCTCATTATGCATTTATTTATATGTTTATAGAATAAATGGGCTTTGTTCTGAGAAAAGGGATGAATATTTGACATAAATTAGCAAAAAAAATTTTTTTTTTTTTTTGATGAGTTTAAGATAATGCGTATTTGAGATATTAATATAATATTTATATAATTAATTTATTATAAATTTAAAATTTAATATATAAAATTAACAAATTTATTTTGGTTTGCCCTGATTTCCACTATTTCCAGTAAATTAATTTTAATAGTTGAATTAATAGTTACTAGTATAATAAAAAGACTCACAAACCGAACTTGTTACTATTTGTATATCCGATTTACTCAAAATCAAAATTGTTTATATGTGAAATGGTCCCTTTTAATGTGTGAACCCATATACCAGTATACATATCTTTCTTTTACATGGCTATGCCAGTACAATTATGGAAGGTAACAGCTTAAAGAATTAGAGAAATACGGAAGAGACAAAATTATCAGTGACGCTATTAATTAAAACACTTTCTATAATGGCTGTTTAAATGCATTTTAACAATCAACACAAAACCTTCATTTTCATAGTTTCAATTTTAGGTCTCTTTTTTGAATTTGCACTTTTTAAAACTCTCCAACTTGTAGAATTTCTATAATTAACTGGAATAAGTTTCAATTCTTGAATAATATCATCATTTGCATAAATATTTCTAAGCATATCCTCTATTTTTGTCATAACTGTTTCAGCATCAGGTCTTTTTTCCAGATCATCATCCCAACATTTGATCATCAAATCTACATAATCGTCTGGTGTTCCAACATCGATAATCGGTCTTTTTCCCTTAATTATCGCTAAAGGAATTGAGAATTTATCCATAATTTGATTACAAAATGGCGGTATCCCTGATGAAATTTCCCACATAATCATCCCTAAACTATATATATCTGATTTTTTTGTATACGGTTTTTTACTCAATACTTCAGGAGCAATATAAGAAGGAACTCCATGAATATCTTCTGATGGATCTCATGATTCGGAATTTTTTAATGATTCACACAAACCAAAATCACTAATTACACAATGGAATTTATTCTTATCTACTAAGATATTTCCAGAATGCAAATCTTTATGAATAAGATTTTGATTGTGTAATTTTCTAATGCTATTGGAAATGTTTCGAACCATTTTTAATTTAATTTTCCAAGGCAAATCAGTATTTACCTTAAGAAACTGACGTAAGTCACTATCCATTTTATGGAGAATGAGTGTAAATTCATTTGATTGTGGATTTCTAGTCAATTCATAGCATCTTACATGAGATTGAGAAAAGAGTTTTTCAGTTGTAAAACTCGTTTTAATCTAAATGCAAAAAAAAAAGTCAGAAAGGTTGTATAATAAACGCTTATTTATTATGAAAGTCCACATATTCTTACCTCATTATATTGTTTTTCTGAAATTTTTAAAGATTTAAGAATATAAGTACCTCGGCCACCTCTTTTTAATTTCTGTTGTTCATTATCCCATTCTGCAAATGACCCATTTTTCCACGTTGCAATATATACGTCAGAATTGTCAGTGGAAGTTTCTAATTTAATTTTTTCAAAATGTTCATAAGGAATCCATTCGATAACGTGTGATGGTGAGACAGTATTGCTTTGACATTCCTGAATTAGTTTATCAATTTCTTCATTTCCTGTCGTCCATTTGCTGAATTGCATTTTTAAACAATTAGGGATGCAACACTCACAATAAAGAGCAGCAATAACTTGGTTATTACAATATTCGCATTGTCGTTTTACTTCAACATTGCCATCAATAATATTCTGTGCGTCATGAATTTTTGACAGGTCACATATTAAATAAGCCTTTTCATTTGTGTTTAATAATGGATATTTATTAACTATATTAAAAGAGCATTAAAGAATTGAAAGCCTTGAAGTTCGGGAAACATTCTCAAAATTAATATTGCTATTTGACGACATTCTGCTATCACATCACTTCGTAGGTGAAGACCGTTTATATAATTCATTTTTCACGCTATTGATAATTGATAATTTTTGCCACGTAAATATTACATTATTTTCGAATCTGTTTTTCTTACCGAGACACGATATTTAAATATAATTGCCCGAAGCGTAGCGGAGGGTCCCTTAGTTATAGGCAAGTGATACAAAAATTACCATCAGGGAAATTAAAATCTGTAAAATTTTCTAGAATTTGAGGTTTTTTACAGAATTGTATTAATTTCTGCATATATGGTTATTATTTTGAAGTTTTGTGCAGTTTTTCATTTGATTTATTGCTTAATTTTTTTGCAAAACTGCGTAGAACTACACTAAGAAAAATTTCCCAATGACGTTTTTGATGCATTTCGCCCAAAAATGTGACGTTTTTTTGATGCATCTCTTCCTAAATTTCCCGAATTTCTTGTACTGTATTCGGCTAAGTCTGCATAAACATTATGAAGATCATATCAGAAACGTAATTTGGAAATTTTTTGTAAATTTGTTAATTTAGTATAACATATTCACGCGTTTGTGTAACAAGAAGGCTATCATATGATACGTATGCTCCGGGCACATAATGCTACGCATTTTCCTAGTATATATATACTGTATATAAATCGTATAAATTGATTTTGAATTTTCATCTAATAAGATGTAAACCAGGATTCTGCATATAATGCATATGAATGGTTCGCTTTGATGACTCTACATTTATTGTTTTTTTTTTCTTTTAAATCAAGCTAAATGACGGCCCTAAATTATTAAACCATCAAAACACAGTCATTATTACTAAATCTGGGTTATCAATACTGCTGTATGCTGTGACAAACGTCAGCACTGTGCTGTGGATCTCTCGCACGGTACGTACTTATACCGATTATTAAACACGAATCAATTTTATTATTTGCAATAATCATTCTGTTGTATTAAGAATCTTTAAATGAATTGCCTAAATTAAATATCGATCATATATCTTAATATGGCATAATTCAGCCCTTGTAATAAATAATATTCTATATATGTTGTAAAAACACTATTATCACGGTATGACAGAGAAGAATACGTATGGCGTTTATTTTGCCCCATATACGTACGGTGTAATTTTTTATCTTTTCGCCAAAGGAGTCATTGTCTTATCTTTATTTTTATGTAGATTCGTCAAGTAAGGTAGATTATGGCAAAGCAAAAAAATTTCGGAAAACAAAATTGTGAAAATATTTGTCAATATCCACAGAAAATTAACAAAACATAGGATTTTCATTGCTAATAGAATATGCTAATGCTAAACTAACCCTATGCATTAACGATAGTCACGCTAGGGTTATTATCGCGAGGATAACCAAATTTGTGGTTTATGGGAAATTGAGGCCTATATGAAAGATAATAGATACGCATATGATTGTTTAGATTATAGATACGCACGTTGGTAGAGATTATAAAGATACTTGTGGGAGTAAATGATGAAACTCAGTGCTTCTTACTTCGCCTGTCTTGTCACTTGATCTTTCGATGCACGATTACAATCTGGCTCCGTGTTAGGCCTCCCTGCTCGTTGCCATGTGTAGCGCGTTGAATGCACCGCACCACACCATAGCGTGGGCTTGAACTTGCTACTTTATTAAAGTTGATGTTGTAATGCTATAATGAGCTGAATGCGTCACATATAGTGGGACTCAAACTCGCCACTTATAAAGTTGATGTCATATGTAACAGTTGAATGCGCCGCACCATAGTGCAGTGTTGTACATAGGACATGTCCACACTATGTAAAATGTCCAATGTTCAAGATTGTCCAAAATTATCCAAGCCTATATCCCAAGTTTAAATAATCAATAAAGTAATTTAAAAAAATGTATAATTATATATTTTTTTAGATGCTGGATTCATTTATAAAAAAATTAAAATAGATTATTTTAATACAATTTTGAGCAATTTTAAATTGAAAAAATGTTCAAAATTGTCCAAAATTGTCCTATGTACAACACTGCCATAGCATGGGCTCGAACTCACTACCTTATTAAAGTTGTATGAACTATACTGCAATATGTGTGGGCTTGAACTTGCTACCTTTAAAATAGATATTATCATGTGTAACTAGTTGAATGCACTGTATCATAATGTGGGCTTGAACTAGCTATCAATCATATATCTTCATAATGTTTACAGTCAGACCTTAATAAGTGCACCTCTCCAGAATTAGATATAGGTGTGCACTTAGAGAGAGTGTGCATTTATGGAATTATAGGTGTATGTTACATGAATTTTATAACCAATCAAAATACTTTTAGAGTATAAATAAAATTTTACTATCTCTATATAAAATGTTCTAATAAAAACACTTGATATCTAATTATATAATTTTAATATATTTGATTAATTTAATTTTTATTAAAGCTATTACACTTTTAAATGTAAAATTGGCTTATTGGCTAGACAACCTTTCATTCTATATTAGTTTTACATTTTGATAATAAAATTTTAATTACAATTAAATAATCACAGCCTTTTTCACAATAATTATATTTTTGGCAAGATTGTTTAATCATATTTACACATATTAGTTTATATATTTCTTTTAACAGGAACTTTTATAAACAAGGAATATTTTTTTTTAGTAATCATATATTATATATTTAAATTATATGATTAAATAATATAATGTATTAAACATTTTTTAACAGATTTAAATTATCTATTATTTTTAATTGTTGTAAACATTTGTTATTTCTATATACATTAGGCCACTACATTATACCAGGTCTTAATTTTATTATTTTATACATATTAGATTCTAGATTTTTTGAGTTGGTATAATTGAAATATATAAATTATGTATAGCATTTGATATCTAAGAATATTAGCCTATTAATTATAAAGAAATAAGATTATAAAATATGTTATCAATATATAAAACACAATAGATAAAATTATTCAAAATCAATCAATTAAATATTGAATATAATACAAGATAATGAATAGCTCTAATTTTTTTTCAAATTTAAAAATCCATTTTTGCATATTGTATAACTAAAGTATAATTATTTGTGCCTTTATTTTTTGATATTCTATAACATTGTAAAAATTATATTTTTAAATATTAGCTCATAATATCATTATAAATATTATAAAATGATAACAACAATACTAAATAATTTTAATTAATATTACTATAAATTTTTGTATTGTCACAGTTTCTTATAACATTCTATTCAGGCTTAGATAGATTCTTATCATGCAGTATTATTTTCTTTTATTTATTATTATTTTATTTATTTGTTTATTATGCAGATATTAGAAGATATAAATGAGCAATAAAAGAAAACTTATAATAATTAGTCATGAATGTTTATATAAACAAGACATTGCTGTCTTGTTAATATATGAAATTGTAATAATTAGACATGAATGTTTATGTTAACAAGATATTAATGTCTTATCATATGAGCAAAGATATAATGATAGCTAGGGAAAGAAATGTAGGGTAGCATAAGGCTAATTCAAGACATTCATGCTTTAGGTTGCATAGAAACTATTTTATAGAATTAGGCAAGAGTCAGTTAGCAAAGAAGTCTACCACAGTAGTTTATAGTAAATTAAAATATATTTAAAGTCTGAGTTTTTGCATTAATAAAAGTTTTCTTAGACTTCGATATCTTTAATAAGTTTAAAATAAGAATCAAATTCTTAATTGATTAAATATAAGTTTTGGACTTATCATGTTGTATTGTTATAAAAGCACCTATAAACATTATTATTAAACCTTTAATCAACTCTATCTGTTTACCATATATTAATCTATTGTTCTAATTGTTATCCTAAAATGTCAACTGTACTATAGCATTATTATTTACCTGCATACTCTTAAAGTGCTTACAGCATTGTTTAAACCAAACTCATAAAGTCAATCGTATAATCTCCAATTTGGCCTTATAGACTAATTATCCCAATTCTGATCTATCTAGTTCGTGACCCTACCCCACATGTTCATAGCAGAATGAAAGATATTTATAACCCTTTATGTTTACTATTAGAGCTAAATCAAATGTTCTATATTATTTACTCTTCCAAACAATAGTAACAGTATACTTTTTAAGCTGCAAAAAATACAGATTTTTTTATTATTATTTTTTTTAGTAATAATTAATTTATTAAAAAATTTATTTACTTACTTTTTTGTTTGTAATACTGTAATCTATTTAAAATACTTATCTAAGTGTATTTGCAGAGCTGAACTTAATATTGCTCTTCTAATAAATTTTTTAAAAAAATTAATTAATTTGCTTGTTAGAACTTTTCTGTTGAAGCAAAAATATTTAGATATTTTCTAAGCTATTTAATACTAACTAATACTAATAATTTTAAGTTCTATATTATTATTCTCTGTTACTTCAATATCTTCTTCATCTATAGTAGTGTTGTTAACTAGAAGCTACTGGAAGACAACTAGAACTCTACTAGAAGAAAATAAATAGTACTACTAAAACTTTTACTATTACAAATTTCCACTGAAAATAAAAATTAACAATACTAATCTATAGCTTCAATGCTTTTATTATTTTTGAACACATAAGCTAGCTCTTTAAAAATTTGATCTTCTAGAAAAACTTTATAACCAACTTTTTTACCATTAATATCAAGAAATTCATTAACTTTTATTGTATTAGAAAGACAAAATATATCTAGTAAACTAATAAGATTTCTGAGCCCTAAAT